CTTGAATTCCATCGACTGGCAGAATGGACAGAGCGCCTATTTGAGGGGCCAGGGTGAAACTGACGAAGACACACACGATGATATTTGGCCTGGGCTCCAAGAAAAAGGAGTCATATTGACCGAGATCCACGCGATACATAGGGGCGAGGCCTCGGGGAAATCAATTGAATTGGTTGAGCAGAACAGACAGGAGAAGGAGAAGGCGGCCGAAGGGGGCGAGAAGGAGCCGGCGCCTAAGCCGTCCGGCACTCCAGTCTCGATCGATAAAAAGAATTTCCCCGACCTAGGAAAGGCGCCTGCAAAACTAGGGAGGACCTGCAAACCGCCGCCCCCTGGGGCTGCCAGTCGGCCCTCTGCCCCTAGGCCTCCTGCTCCTGGGGGGCCGAAAGAAATTCCCGCCAAAAAGGCCCCACCAGCGATTCAAACGCCAACGAACCCTCCGGACCATTGGCCGAGCCTCACTAGGCAGGAGCATGCTCCACCGGCGAAAGAGATTTCTTCTAAGAAGGCCCCTCCGCCGAAGTTCGGACCTAGGTCGGAGGAATTAAGTCCTTTGCCAGCGAACATGTTTCGATTTGATGGAGACCCCGCTGCACCTATGACTGCTCAGCCACCGGCTAAGCCTGGTGATGCAGCCGCAGTTGGTAGCGATCCTTCGAGCCCTCAATAAAATGAGCTTCGTTCCAAACAGGCACCCAGATGGGTCAGACACAGGGGAGATGCGCATCATCTCGGAGGCAGTGCCATGGGTGAACGGCCCGAATCAGCACACTCCCCACCCGCCGAGGCGAAGGCTGCCTCAGCTGAAGAAGTCGCTTCGCGCCAAGATGCAAATGACAATCCATTGGATGCTCAGGGTGCAAACTTTGCAAACCCCGCGACTCAGTCGGATGGGGATCATTCGTCTCAAGATCCGCCGACATTGGAAGGGGACGATGACATAACTTCTATCTTGCAGGCCTTAAAAGAGGACTCGCGTTTGCACTTCGAGCTCCCGAGAGCCAGCGTGGCGTTGAGAAACGACAAAAGAGTTCTTCTATCGTTTGAGAGGGCTACGATCGAGAGCGCACGACGTCCCGGACGAGACCCCTCTGATGAGGAGATTCCGGGTTTCAGCTGCATCGTTTATTAAGGCAGCAAAATGTGTTTATGGAATAAACACACAAGACGAAGTACATGAGCTGAACACAGATTCCGCCGCATGGAATGAACTTGCTGATGCTATTGTCGGACAGATTTTAAAATGGGATCCGAATCTTGTGCGCACTCCGATAGTAGCGGAGAGATCTAGGTGGTCAAGACGTACAGAGGCAGGTGGCTCTTGGAACGAGTAAGGTCAGAGTGCCTACTCCTCCTGCCCCTCCGTCCGGCTCAGCTGCGACGGAGAGCCCCCCGATGCCTCCGCCCGATTCAACCGGGGCGGAGCAAGAGAGACACCATGAGGCACAAGAAGAGCCATCGAGTCCAACACAGGTGCCATCATATGAGGGGACATCGCATGTTCCCAAGCACGCAGCTCAGCCGCCAATGGAGGCCTCAGGCCATCCGGGGATCCCTGAGACGGACACGGGAACGGAGGACTTTTGTACGACGTTCCCATGCGAAGAAGATCCCCAGTTCTTAGAATCCATGGACGACGAGATTTTTCCTTTTGGACCAACATCTGAGAATATGTTTCGCAGATTGAGTCTTCCGCCTGCTCCTGACAAAAGACAGAGCCGGCCACTATACAGGGACCCTACCCACGGGGATCGAGACGTCACAGTGGGGCATGCTGCTGTATTCAAAGAAAAACGGTTGTATGTGACGACGGAAGAACGTCAACTGATACTTCGGAGTACGCCTGGACCACTAAAGCAAACGATCCAAGACGCCCACATAAGGGGCCCCGTGCCGCCGCACGTCGAAGCCATCCGCAGTCGAACGGGAACTACGTTTCGATATATGGCCGAGTTCGTAGAATACCCAATCTTTGCAGTGCAGGGGGGCCTCGATCAGGACGATGGAGCTTTCGCGCAGGCAAAGGATTACCTTAGAGCTGAATTTCATTCCGATGATGTTCCAGACGGGTTTACCCCCTGGGGCCCACGCGTGCCTGCAGCCGCTGATAGTCGGAGACGATAGTGAAGGAAACCCGGCTGCCTTAGGCAGCTCGGACACCTGGAGTGGCTTGAGCTACAGATCGGACGTACTGGCCAAGAAGATAGGCCAGTGCGCTGTATACCTCGCGAGGCATTGCTCTGACTATGCTAGATCGTCGGGAGGCTGGGCCAACTTTGGAGACCTGGTGCAGAAACTAAAAGATGATGGTTTTACTTTCCAATCGTACGCCCTGGCCGCACACAGCTTAGCTGCGTTGCCGCCAGGGATGGTCGAAGTTTTAGGAATCTTTCCCCATGGTAGTCCCGAGATTATTAGAACGCAAATCACGCCATGTGGGAGCGACACAAGGCATTGCAAGAAGAAGACGGAAGGGAGATGCCGATACCCATATTCTATAGGGCATGCCAGTGACATTCATCGCTCGCTGCTTCAATTGGAAGGATGTACCTCCCAGATGACCCTGGCCAAGTCAGGACTCACGGCTCTCTTCTTCATGTCGCAGACTTACAAACATCTTTGTAATATACGAGTGGAAGTGTTCGCTTCCCGAAGAGCGACTCTGGGCTTTGCCATGACGCAGATTATGAATTCTTGCGATTGCTTCCGGCTAACAAATAGCCCAACAATGCCTGATCCCTCAGATATTCCTCCGCGGTTAAACCAGCGGAGGTATGGACGGCCGCTCGTCGCGAGAAGTCTAGTACCCATGAATAGCCCGGCCCAGGAAAGGGGGGCCGCCATCGGTGGGGACTTGGCCCGCAGATGACACCCACCACCTATGGCCCATTCACCATGAGCTATGGGATCTTGTTCTTGTTTTTACCGGCGGAGTGCTCACTCGCTTCTCGCGCAGGGTTTGCCCCGACGGGGCCGTAGTGTCTCGAGAAGTGCCGAGGTTTACTGACATCGACAAAGCCGTCTCCCTTGTGAGACAGGCAGATCAGATGCGCTGGACGGTACTCTTCAATCGCGAGTTGTCTTCATACGAGGTCACCTTCGACAATGAGTCGATTATTGCCTGGGTTCATACAGACGAGAGAATCATCATTAATTGGAACCGCAGGCCAAGATTGTCGACCGAGATCCAGGACTGAATTATATCCGTCCCTTAGGATGACACGGGAGGTTCCTGCGTGGCCGGTGCCGCTGGGTGAGGACAGGTTTTGCCAACTGTCCTGTCTGCAATTGTCCAGTCAAATACAAATGCAGGGTCGCGCACGATTGCATGACCCAGTCGTGGAACCGCAAAGTTTCCCCTCAATCCCTAGAGGCTAACGGCCTCTTCATAGCGGTGGATCATGAAGAGGGTCTATCATGGAATCGCCACGAATATGTAAAGGCGCGTGCAAAGAGGCAAGCGAGAGCTTCTGCCGATGCCACGAAAAACGTCAGCAACAACAATCCGCAGGAGCGAAGATGGGCCTCTGGACAGTTTGCTACGATGGCGGCCGCTGGCACGATATTTGGCAATAGCCAGCCCGGCAACTTTCCAGCTTGGGCCCCAGGAAACGCCGAGGCTCAGCCTCCGGCGCGACATGCTCCTTTCTTTCAATATTTGAAGCATTTGCTCAGAATGTTCATATCGTGGCTTCAATATTCAGCCAGAACCGTAAACAGACAGGCCCCGCCTATTAATGCCTGGTGGCCGAAATTGTGGGAAACTAAGTTTGATCAATACGATCGCCCGAGATCCTGCCCAGCCCTGGCGGCCTTTCATTGGCCGGACGAAGAGGGTGACTTAGTCACTCTTCGGACTGGCTGGGAGAGGTGGTTCAACAACATGACTAGAACCAATGTCTTTGTTCCGACGCCTACTACAATACATGGCGCGGTAAATTTAGGTAGACCGTGGTTTGGCGCATTGGATGAAGAAAATGGGAACCCACGCCGGGTACTGCGTCCATCGGAACAGGATCACGTGGCTGCCCGACGCCGAGTGGTACACTCTGAGTTACTGGCGCGCGCTATCAACATAGGAGCACAACGTGCGCTTCCCGCCAAAAGGGGCAGCATCGAAGAGCGACACTGTAAAAGGAAGAGGGCGGTCCCGCACGCCTCGTGGCGTGGAGGCACAGGCGGGGGGGTCGGCGTCGTCAAACCCGCCGCCCCCGGCGCCGCCCAGAGCAGAGGGCGAGCCCAGCCCGCGGGAGGATCTGAACTGAGTTTCGCCCGCGTGACTCAGTCGAGGCAGGCGCATGCAAGATAATTTTATCCACGCGCGGAACGCGCGTTGGATGCGGACACCTCTGCTGGTCGGCTAAGCCGGTCCAGCGGAGAGAATTTATTTACCATAATGGTGGGAAACGTCGAGCCTCTTCGGCCCTTGGCCCCCTGGCAGCCACCGTTGAGCTGTAAAAGCTTTTTCGGGTTGGCTCCGGTGGTTGTGCAAATGTGCAGGCCGGGGGTGCTGTGGCTGGATGGGCTCTACGCGGCCCGCCGCGGGGGGGGTGAACATGCTCCTCCCCGCCTCGTATTAAATTAGAACATAGCTTAGTTTGCATGCGTTGCAGTGTCCGCTGGAACTAACAGCTGCGTTCCGCAGCTGCATGGATGCTCGAACAAGCCAGCCTTGGCTTGCAGGAGAGAAAATGAGCGCGCCAGCCCTCGGCCGCCGCGCGTCGTCGGTCGTGGGCCAGCCGGCCTCCTCCCTGCACATTCCTGATAGAGTAATCTTGCTTAACGGATACTTTCTTATCAAAGTCTCATCTCGCCCCCTCTCTCCCTGAGCAGAGGGAACATGAGATCTTAATTCCTTTGTCATCTTACCCCGGTTCTCAGAGGAAAGACGAAGAGGGCATGCCCGGATTCCTTCAGTCGCCTGCAAGTTTGTCAATCTTTGGGCGAGGGATGGGCGAGAGGCTTGTTATTAACATCTCGGGCCTTCTCGCCTCGCCCAGGAAGCATTAACTACCTCAAGGTCTCCACCAAGACGCTGGCCGCCGCCTCCCGAGTCCTGGTGGGGGCACTGGTCGCCCTCGTCGTGCGCGCGCGCGAGCCTGCAGCCATGCGTGCGCACCTCTTCTACCGTGTTCATGCCTGTCACTCGTGCCCCTTTTGATTATCTTTCTCTCTCTCTCTCTGTCTCTCGTTGTCGTTTTTTTTTTTTTTTTTTTTTTTTTTTTTTTTTTTTTTTTTTTTTTTTTTTTTTTTTTTTTTTTTTTTTTTTTTTTTTTTTCTTTTTTTCTCTCTCTCTCTCTCTCTCTATATCGCTCCCTCTATATATATACATATGTATCACTAGCTCTCTCTCGATTCCCCTTTTTATCTTTTTTTTCATACACGTTTACTTTGTATGTATAGATATCGCTCTTTGTCCCTCTCCTCTCGTTCACTCCCCCTCTCTCTCTCTCTCCCTTTATCTCGTGTTGTTGTTGCTCTCTATCTCTCTCTCTTTTCAAATTCCTCTTGCTTTCCCTCTCTCTTTCTCTCTGTTTATTTTCCCCCCTCTCTCTATAGGTGGTTGTGTGTTCTCTCTCGCCCTCTCTCTTCTGAGTCTCGCGCCTGTCACGTCATGGGCGCCGCACCTGCAAGGTCTGCAGGAATGACTGGCGGCCGTCCACTCAGGCCAGAGATGAGCTGACGCATGGATACCAAGGCCTGTTCCTCGACGGGGATGGTCATCCCAGCTCGCACCACGCCATAGTACCGCATGAAGGCACAGTGGCGGTGCAGTGGGCGTGCTAGCTGAAGTCGCGGGGGCAGGGCGACGGCGGCCAGGGAATCGTTGTCTCCCCAGATGTCCTAGACATGGTTGCGGGGGTCGGCAGGGGAAAAAGGGGGGGAAACGGAAAGAACGATAGGGAGAGGAATCCGTGCTGGGGGGGGGGTGGGGGGGGGGGTGGGGGGGGCAAGGAGGGGGGGGGGCGGGCGGCCCGAGCTCCAATGTCTTGCCTTACCACATCGAGGTGCCGCGCCTCTGCGTGAGCGACGCGAGGCCGTGCACGCAGGCCACATTTGCGCTGATGCTCGGACGCCGCGCTTGTTTATGCGCAGAGATGGGCATCCCAGATCGGGCATCACCAGATTGCCGCATGAAGGCACAGTGGCGGTGCAATGGGCGTGCTGGCCGAAGCCGCGGGGACAGGGTGACGATGGCGGGGGAAAGACTATCACACCCTAGCGTCCTGAGTAAGACGGTGGGAGAAAGAAGTGATCTATGTAGAGGAGGGGCGGGCGGCCCGAGTTCCAGTGATTTTTTCCTTTGCTATGTTGAGGTGCCGTGCCCGACGAGGAGCCGTCCAAGGATGCCACAGCTGAGCTGACAGTCAGGCGCCAAACCCCGTTGACTGCCTCATGAAGGGACTGTGGCGGTGCAGCAGGTGTGCTGGCCGAAGTAAGCGGGGGTGAAGCGACGGCGGCTGGGCAAGCTCTATCTCGCATTATTGTCTTGAGTTGCAGCGTGGGAGGAGGAAGGGCGATAGACATGGTTGGCCTGCCCGAGCTCCAGTGACCGCTTACCTTGTTATGTTGAAATGCCGCGCCCGCAACGGCTGCATGGACGACGCGAGGGTGTCCAAGCAGGCCCAAACAGAGCTGACCCTTGGACACCAAGGCTAGTTCATCGACAACGGTGGACATCCGAGCTTTCGGCACGAACGACATGGGCACGGGCAGAATGGGTACAATGCCCAACAGCAGTTCTTGTTCATTTTGAACGGGACTCGCTGTCCGCGCCGCCGCGGCCTATGTCCATTTGAGACAGAAGGCAGCCTGCCCGGCAACGGCCGCTTTTGGTTTGCGGCAAGGTTTTGTTGTTGGGCGTTGTGACCCTTTTTCCCGTACCCATTTCGGACGTCCAAGAGTTCGCGTTTCACAGAAGTGCCGCGTGGAAGCGCGGTGGCGGTGCAGTGGGCGTGTTGGCCCAAACCACGGGGGCAGGGTCGAACTGCCAGCGCGCCGGCGCGTTCTAAATACAGTCGGCACTAATTCGTTGGTCGATCCTGCCAAATCAAGGGTGCCCTTGTGTCCTGTGTCTCGCGACCTATGCCTCCGACATTCCTATGGCAATGTGGCGCTTGGAAGGGTCCTGTGTCCTCTCGCGTGTCCTGTCCAATCAAGTCCGACTGTAGGAGCGTGGGAGGAGAAAGGGGGACAGGTGGGGCGGCCCGAGCTCCAGTGACCTCTTGCTTTGTGTTGTTTGGTTTGCCGCGCCCGAAACGGCTGCATGAGCGACGCAAGGCCATCCAGGCAGGCCGCAGATGACCAGACGCTCAGTGGCCAAAGCCTGTCCATCGGCAAGGATGGGCAACCCAGCTCGCACATGACCAAAGTGCCTCTTGAAGGCACAGTGGCGGGGCAGTGGGGCTCGCTGGCCGAATCCAGCGGGGGCAGTTCGACGGCGGCCCGGGAACCGATATCGCACCCGAGTGATCTACGCAGAAATGCGTGAGGGGGAAAAGGGGAAAAGAAGGGAAGAAGAGAAGCACGGGAGCAAACGGCCCGAGCTCCAATGACCGTGTAGCTTTTTAAGTCTGGACTTCGCGCTTGCAGCTGCTGTATGAACGACGCGAGGCCGTCCAAGAAGGCCAATGGTGACCGACCCTTGGACACCAACGCCGGTTCAGCGACAGGGACGGGCATCCCAGCTCGCATCGCATCGGGGTGCTTCATGGGGGCACAGAGGCGGTGCAGTGGGGCATGCTGACGGATGCCAGCGGGGGCAGGGCGACGATGGCCGAGGAACCGCTGCTTCCTCGACATTTGCTAAGAACAGAAGTAGGACTGGGAAGATGTCGAGGTTCTGGGCTCCCGTGACCGCGTGTTTTTTGAGTTTTGGTGCGCCGCGCCTGCAACGGACGTATGGGCGACTCTGGACCGTTCCGGCTGGCGAGTGATAGTAGTTGACTAACACTGTATAGACAAGCTTGGCTTCCCACGTGGCCTGGGAAGTGTTTGGCCGTGTGGCGGATGCCAGTGCCCGTCCCATGGCAGTCTTAGGAGCGGGTGTTCCCACGAGGTGGTTCTGTCCTGGTGGTGAAGCCCCTAGGCGAGAGAAGCAAGCACGTTGCTTGTGTCGCCCCGGTGGCGCATTCCAAAAGAAGAAGAGGAGAAACATGAGGAGAAGAAAAATGAGGAGGACGAGGAGGAGGAGGAGGAGGAGGAGGAGGAGGAGGACGACGACGACGGGCCAGGGCATGAAGACCCCCCCCTTGCCAGGGGTTGCCTCCCACCGTGCCCCCCCGCTGCGCAGAGACCCCCCGCGGTGCGCCCTCCGCCAGGTCGGTGCCGCCGCCTCCCCGCCGCTCCGCGCGGAGGCCCGCGGGGTCTCGCTCCGCATCGGCCCGCGCCCCTGCCCGGGCGCGGCGTGGGCGGGCCCCGAGGCGCAGAGGGCCGCCCCGAGGTTGTTTTGTGGATCCTTTGGCGCGCAGCGGCCCCTGCACTCAGCACAGCCAGGAGGGGCGAGCAGCTCTCTCAGCGTGCCCCAGGCCGCCCCGGGATGCCCAGGACGCCCCAAAGACGGCCTAAGACGGCCCCCCCCAGGTTTCCAAAGGCGCCCCAGGACTGCCCCGGATGCCGCAAGGCGGCCCCGAGAGGGGGCCCGGAAAGAAAACAGGAACGGACGTTTCGCCAATGAGCGTCGCAGAGCCATATGAGGTGCCCAAAGGAGGTGGCCAGGATTCGGCAAGAGGTCCCCTACAGACCCCCCAACAGCCCCCAAGAGGCTACCCATAAAAACCCCAGGAGACGCACATCACGGATGTGCATGCAGTAACACAGAGTGGATATGAGCCACTGTCCAAGGTTTGTCTTGCATCTCTGCTTTTCGGCTCATCCCTGGCCACTTTGGTTGGCCGCGCCCCGCTCGAAATGTGCCGGCATGCCTTCCAAGGCCTTTGCATCCTTATCGTGTTCTTTATTGCCAGCTATGGCTGCTTCCAGGCTGAGCCCCTCTCCTCCCCCCAGTAACGGTAGCGATCACACGTGGCAGGGGGAGGCTGGACCCTGGGCCTCCGCGATGAGGTCGGAGTGGATGTGGTCAGATGGTCGTGCCGCATCGCCGATGCATTGCCGATGCATCGGCGACGTGGCTCGATGCGGAGCTGTTTTCTCCACGCCGACGTCGCGGATGCATCGCCGTCGTCGCCGATGCAACGCCGATGCGGTGCCATCCTCCGAATGCTTCTACGCGGGCCCCATTTGGGAGGCCTCTGTGGACCCCGCCCCCGACGCGGGTATGGATACATCCCCGCCTCGCACATCCGATTCGGTTCCGATGTTCCGACGACCATGCGGTCTGGTGCTCGCATGGCGTTCTTGTTCGTCTCGGCGCGGTCGATCCGATTCGATTGTTCGATCTCGCTTCGGTGCAGCCAGGTCCGACGCGCATTTCGATCCGATCCGATCTTCCGAGTCGACGCCTGCAGTTGTTGCCCCGAACACCTCCCCTGAGCACATCCCCAGATCGCCGACGGTATGTTTTTTTCAGACCAGGTGTTTCCCCTCGATTCGCGAGCCTGCTCTGAGGCACAATGTGCGGGTCTGCACGTCTGCACGACCCGAGGGTTTTTAGGCCGCTCCGCGGCCTTCTTCTTATCGCCCATCGCCCGCCGGCACCTCTGTGCCCCAACTCGCCGCAGAATCCCAAATCATCGAGAACAAGAGAGCCCCTTACCCGAATCACACGATCAAGACGTGGCCTCACTTAGGTCCTTGTCCTCGCAGAAGGGATGATAGATCTGGGCGGTTTGGTCTGATGCATCTGCATAAAAGACCCCCTGTTCCTAATCATTATGGCACTCCTGACTCGGGCCCCCTCCACAAGGGTTAGGGGTATTTATTGGTTTTCGCCGAACACGTTATTCCTCCGTTTCAGCTTTTGGGGATCTTCTTCGGGCCGCTGGACCGATCCAGGTGGGGCGAACACTTGCCCCGAGGATGCAGAGCGCCGAGTAGTGTTCAAATGGAGTCGACCAGTGTCCAAGTGGCGCCCAATAGCACCCAATGGCGCCATCGGAAGGTCACGCATCACGTCCGCTTTGCGCGCCGTTGGACGCGATTCTGGGCCCAATTGGGACGACCAACAGTTTCCGTGAGTTGTTTTCTAACAGCCTCTCTGCCCCGGGAGGCGCGCGCGGAGGGCGGGGGCGGCTGCCAGCTGGCGGCGGGCGAGGCCCTCGGGCGCGTGGGGCAGCTCACCGTCGACGTGCAGGACGTCGCCCGCGGCCGCCTCCCCCCCACTTGGGGGGCTCTGCGTGCAGCCGTCTGGGGGAGCTGAGGTGGCCCACCATGGGCTCGATACTGTGTCTATATAGTCCTAGGGCACGCGACGGTCGTAACCCGGGCCACACCCGCACCCCCCGCGCGGTAACGGTGACGATCGTACCTCGGTGGGGGGCCTGGACCCCCCCCCTTCACATGCTGGCGCTCGCGCGCATGCTTCGGCAGCAACCCCGCCCCGACGTGCCGCACCCCGCCCAAGCATTACTTTTACCTGGGGCCCCAGGCCCCTCCCCCCCGGTCAACGACGGCCACCAGAAATCTAACAATTATTTCTTCAGACCAGCAGAATGCAGGGATAGCGCAGGAAGGATGGATAAGGGCACCCTTCGTCGCCACGGCTGGACGCGGCTCGAAAGCTTGTCAGCATGGACCCTGGGAACGATGTTGAGCAGAGTTGCTTCTGTCCCCCCTTCTTTCGGAGGTTCGCAGAGGGCCGGGTCGTCCAAAGGTGGGATCAGGGGACGAACCCAGCCGGATGTTCACACTTCCTTCTTCCAGGAACCGTTTCGGATGATTCTCCTCCCAACCTCCCCTCTGGTCCTACCCCACCCTTACGCCCCCCGACTTGGCAGATGTGCCTAGGTTTTTCAGCTCAGACTCTCCGGCCGGCTCTGTGGCTCTGCGCTTCTGCGGGTGGCGCCCGCTTTCCGCCCACGTTGATTTCTTGGCGGCAGAAAGCCCTCTCTCCCCCACCCGCATCCCTCCCTGAGACATGCTCGCGTCGTCAAATGGTTAGGGAGGTTTTCAGCAATGTTCGGCCTCCAGGGGCCCTCGCCAGGCCTCGGGACCGTCAACCGTCGACTCGGGATGTGAAACTGTTGTGGGGAAATGGTCGGGACTAGGGGGCGGCGCCTGGAAAAAATCTGGACGTCATTCTGCGACTGGGCTCTGGCTCCTGATTTTGAGGACGTCTCGCGGAATGTCTAGGCCAAGTATACATACACACATACATATATGTATACATATACACATACATACATACATTTGTATAGAGTGGCCTTTGGCCAATCCCGCCACTGTTCTTGGGTTATGGGTCAGAGGCCACTTGGATGTTCGTTTTGGGTATCGTGGGAGACCTCTCGGGTGCCTCTTGGAGGCAGTTTGAGGCCTCTTGGGGGCCTCGTTGGCCTCTTCCTGGGCCTCTTGGGGGCCTCGTGGTGCCTCTAGGGGGCCTCTCAGGCTCTCTTCGGGGTCTCTTGGGGCTTTCTGAGGGCCTCTTGGGGCGGAAGGCTCGAAGTGTCGGTTCGTGTTCCCCTTTTGGGCCCCTTTTTGAGGCCGTCTTGGGGTCTTCTTGGGCGATCTTAGGCGCCTCTTGGGCCGTTTTGGGGCCCTCTTGGACCTTCTTGGGGCCCTCTGGGGGGCCTCTTGGGCCTTCTTGGGGCGGTGTTGGGGGCCTCTGGGGCCATCTTGGAGCGTCGGAGGGCCCGAAACCGCGATAATGCAATGTTTGTTGCCTCTTTGCCCCCTCTTGGGGGGTGGCGCGCTCTTGGGGCTTCTTTGGGGCCTCTTGGGCAGTCTTGGGTGCTTTCTGGGGCCCTTGTCTCGGGGCCCGCTGGCTTCCGGAAAAGTGGAAAAGGTGCAGTCCAGGCACGCGCGGGAGCGCCCGGGAGATTTGGGAATTTTGGGCCCCAGCCCTCAGAATACTATAAACCCCGAATCCTGAGCACAGAGAACAGAGGACACATGAGGACCGGGAGAACGCTCCATTTCGCGCCTTGCGGC